AAATGAAAAATCGATCATTCAATAGGCCGACATTACCACCAGCGATAAAAAAAATCGGCTGATTTTCGTCCCGTCTACGGCCGGCATTTAATTACTTCTGTCCCTGCAGAGAGCTCCACTATTATATTTGACATTAAAAAGTATAGCGGTTGCACCATTGTATCTATTTGTATCCATTTCAGATACAGATGTTTTTATTCGGATACAAATAGATACATTGTTTCTTCCTCCCCCTCCCCCCCCCCCCCCTCGAAAACAAAACTGAATCCCAGCAGTAGTCCCAGGACTAGGAGGTAAGGAGGTAAAAGCAGTTAGTACTGAGGTAGAATTACAGATAGGAAAAAACTCTTGTAAAAAGTTCAGAGTTTTGATTGTGACAATCAAGGAATACATTATTGGGATGGACATCCTGAGAGGTATGACCTTGCATTTAACAGATGGCACTTACACATTTGGAGTTCACAAAGCTGAAGTTAGATCAGAGGAGGCTAAGGACATATTGGTAGGCACATTACAGATACCACCAATAGTATTGCCCCCCTCAACACAAAAGGTGTACACAAAACAGTATTGCATACCTGGGGGGACATTAGGAGATTACTCAAACAATTGAGGGCCTCCTCAAAGCAGACAATTAATTCTGCTTGGAATTCTTGGAATATTTGGCCATTGCGTAAACCGGACGGTACTTAGCGCATGACCGTGGACCAACGAGCACTCAATAAGGCGACCCCACCATTGACAGCAGCAGTCCCTGATGTGGTCACAATTATAGAGAACATACAAAGACACTCAGATATATGGTATGGGACCTTAGATTTGGCCCATGCCTTCTTCACTATTCCAATAGCTGAAGAGAGCCAGGAACAATTCAGTTTTACCTGGAATGGCAGACCGTTTACCTTTAACAGGTTAACCCAAGGCTATGTACATTCTGCCACCGGCTGGTGGCAGAACATCTGGTGGAGCTAACCCTACCTCCAGATCAACAGATACAACATTACATAGACAACATTCTCATTCAAGGTTCAGGTGAGCAGGGGGTAGCAGACACTCTAGCCATGATAGTTGACCATATGAAGCAAAAAAGGTGGGAGATTAACCCAGATAAGATACAAGGTCCTTCACAAACAGTGAAGTTTTTGGGTATTCAATAGCACTGTGGAAACAGAGAAATACCCCCCAAAGCTGAACAGAAAATACTAGATTTTAAAGAGCCGCAAAAAAAAACTGAAGCACAAAGATAAATTGGGCTCTTTCGATTTTGGAGACAGCACATCCCCCATTTTTAGCACCCCTATATCAAGTTACCCATAAAAAAAGGACTTTGATGGGGGGAGGGAATAACAGTTGACTTTTGAAACATCCAAACAGATAGTCCAGCAGGCCCTGGACCTATTGCCCTTACGCCCTGGGGATGTAGAATTGCAAGTGTCAGTGCAGGATCAGTGGGCTAGCTGGAGCTTATGGCAAAAAACAGGACAGGAAGCGGGTCCCTTTGGGATTTTGGACCCGTAAATTGCCAGAGGCAGGAAAAAGATATACTGCATTTGAGAAACGGCTGCTAGCTTGCTATTGGGCACTGATAGACACAGAACAGTTGACTGTAAATCATGCTGTGATTCTGAGACCAGAAATCCCAATTATGCAGTGGGTAATGAGTTCCCCAAAGTCTCACAAGATTGGCCAGTGTCATTAAATGGAAATTATACATACCAGATAGGTCTAAAGTAGGGCCTTCAGGTGTCTCAACTCTTCATGAACAGGTAGCACATGAGGCCCTAGCAACCCCTTTAGATAATCCACATCAGCAAGTGGAATCCCCTGTGAAATGAGGTAAGCCTTTCAGTGAAATCACACCAGAAGAGCAGCAACATGCTTGGTTCACTGATGGCTCTGCTAAATTAAACGAGCAGAGCATCACTGGAAAGCTGTGGCCTACGGGCCTCTTAACAAACAATTCTTGCAGGAAGAAGGAAAATGCCTGGTCAATGTCCCCTGTATACAGACTCATGGTCAGTGGCTAATGGCCTGGCCATATGGATGGCCATGTGGGCTGCTAAGGATTTTATGATTCACTCTAAATAAGTGTGGGGAAAGAATTGTGGCAGCAGATTTGGGACTTAGCATCCCAAGGCACCATCATGGTGCATCATGTAGATGCCCATTGTGGGACTGACTTATTAGAACATCTGTTTAATTCTATAGCCAACCAAAGGGTGAAAGTGACTGAAGTGGCTGTCCTCCGGACATGGATGCGGTGGAAGGACTGGCTGCTTGGACCCATGGGAAATGCAGACACCTGGGAGAAAAAGTCACTTACATGTCGGCGCAGCAGAGGGTTGGGACTCACCATTGACATAATTAAAAATGTAATCGCCAAATGCCCTGTTTGTCAACAGCACAGGAAAAGATCTTGTCTCCAGCCCTATGGTAAATTGATACGAGGAAAAGGGCCTGTGCAGATATGGCAAATAGATTATGCAGGGCCCCTGCCCACTAGCAAAAACCAATACATTTGTGTTGCTGTAGACACCTTTTCAGGACTGATAGTGGCCCAACCCTACTGCAGTGCAAATCAAGATAACACCATTGTTACTCTGGAGAGAGTAGCAGCTATGTACTGTATAGATCACCTCAGCAGATACAATCTGATAATGGTACGCATTTTACAGGAAACAAAGTTAAACAATATGCTGAGGAAAATGATACTCAGTGGGTATACCATATCCCATACTACCCACAGGCCTCAGGCCTCGTGGGACTCATGGTTGGCCTACTTAAACAACAATTAAAGAAACTAGGAGGAGGAGAGTTGCATGCTTGGATGACTCGCCTTCCCCTAGTAGTCAAGCAACTTAATGACAGACCACTGACTAGTGGTTTGACCCCGCTACAAAGAATGCTAAACCAGGACTATCCAGGCCACATGATTTCAGACCTAACTACAGGTGACCAAGGGGTGGAGGAGCCGCCTCCTACATTGGCTCTGGCACCTATTACAGGTAAAGAATATGGAGAGCTGGCGCCGGGGGTATGGTGGCACCAGGAAAATGGTCCCCCATTGCAGGCTGAAATCATAGCCTCCATTGATGACAGTACCCTGATTATTGTAGTGGATGGGGAGGACAAGTGGCGGCATGTGCTGTCTGGGAAATGCTTCCTTAGGGAGAGCATTAACATTAGGGAAACATTAACAATACACTAACTGTGGGGTGGTAAGGGCTCTTTCCACCTTGCAGCCTTATGGCAGCTTTATAGGACCTAGAAAATGCCAGGAAGCGTCTCGCAGGAGTTAGAAGGGTGAGCGGCTAGAAGACAATACCATTTATAAGAGTGATAAGGTACCTTGTGTGTGTGTTTTTTTTTTCTCTTTTAGGATGAAAGACGTTAACGCAACAAAGTTTTTTCTCTCTTTTGGAACAATAAATTAAGATAATAGAAATAAGTTTAAGGAGTGAAGTGAACCCTTGGAGTTAGTGTTAAGATAAAAACTTTACCTGATATTCACAAGAATGATTTCTTCCATAGGAAATGAGGACCATCCTGTAACGTGCTATTGTGACGCTTGTGCATAGGCTACTCCGTTGGGAAAGTTCAAGAGACACCCATGTACCTACTATGGGTAAATCAGGTGGTGATCCTGTTATCCAGGAATCCAAGGCTGCAAGTGAAAGCAGATGATGGTGAGATCCCTGACATCCCTATGCTTACAACGGAGGCAAACAAAGAGGAAGGAGAGGAGAGTTTGTCTAATGCTCCAGAACAAAATTCATCACACCCTCAGTCGAAGGGCAAGTAAGGTTGGACATTAAGACTCTTGAAGGAATTGCTACAGGAACTATATTGGCACTTTGGGTGCTTAATAATGAAGGAATGATATCTGAAAATGGAACTCTGCACCTGTTCTGGAAAGATGTGCCTTTAATTCAAGCAGAACACACTCACCCCCAGCTGTGTTGTTATTCAAAGCCATCAGAAGGGTATGGAGAGGTCTTATGGACAATAGAGACAGTGTACCATTGCTAGGAGGCAGCGGGTACAGGGACATTTTATTGGACAATGGACACTACTTTAAAGGGGTTAAGCAATATACACATTTAAAGTAAAAGAAAATGAAGGATTGTATTTGTGTACTAATGCTACCGTAATAGAACAAACATGGGTAGTAGAGGTGTTAATCCAGTGGAGCAGGTACTGTGGGTCTTGGTTGCCACCAAGGAACCCCAGGCAGTGGGAAGCACACAACTCATTGAATTCAATCAATGCAGACAGAAATGTTCCCCATCAAGATGGAGACAAGGTACTTTGGGGGGGGGCCTTCCTGCCCCAAAGCACCCTCCATGTTGAGGGCATGTGACTTGGTACGTTCAGGAGGAGGGGTGGTTGTTTGTCCCCCATTTCCTGACCTGCTAGGCTGCATGCTCGGATAAGGGTTTGGTATGGATTTTGGGGGGGACCCTCACACCATTTTTTTTACATTTTGGCATGGGGGGTTCCCGTCAAAATCCATACCAGACCCCAAAATCTTGGTATGGATAGAAGTGGGGACCCCATGCCATTTGTTTAACCACTAGCCTACTGGGCACTTATACCCCCTTCCTGCCCAGGCCAATTTCCAGCTTTCAGCACGCTGTCGCAATTTGAATGACAATTGCGCGGTCATGCAACACTGTACCATATGAAATTTATATAAATTTTTTTTGTGACAGATAGAGCTTTCTTTTGGTGGTATTTAATCACCTCTGGGTTTTTATTTTTTCTTAAACCAAAAACCACTGAAAAGGTGTTGAAAAAAAAAAAACGTTTTTTCTCTTTTAAATATAAAATTTTGTAAAGCAGTGGCCTACGTGATTTTATAAAATTCTTGTAAATAAGTGAAAAATCACTGGTTCAATGTGCGCTAATGAGGCTGCAGTGATGGGCACTGATAGGATGCACTGATGGGCACTGATAGGTGGCACTGATGGGCACTGATGAGGAAAGGCACTGGTAGGTGGCACTGATGGGCATTGACAGGCATCACTGATGGGCACTGAAAGGCAGGACTGATACATGGCACTGATATATGGCACTGACTGGCACTGTTTAGGCGGCACTGACTGGCACTGATAAGTGGCACTGATAGATGGCACTGACTGGCACTGATGGATGACACTGAATGGCAGCTCAGATGGGCACTGATATGTGGCATTGATGTGCACTGGTATGCACTGATATGTGGCATTGATGTGGCACTGGGGCACTGTGCACTGGCACTGATGCCCAACCGCACTGACAGCTGGCACTGATGGGAGTTTGACAGGTGATCACTGCTCAGCAGGGCTACACTGATCATCAGGGCCACACTGATCATCATGCCCTGATCATCAGTGTTCATGTCCCCTCTGCGGAAAGCCGATTACCTGCTCTCCTCTCTCGAGCTGTCAGCGTGACAGCTCGAGAGGAGAGAAATGCCGATAACCGACATCTCCGTGTTTCCATGTGATCAGCTGTGATTGGACACAAAGCTGATCACATGACTGAGCCAACATCTTCGGCTCTTTCGTGATCGGTGATCTGCTGTGTCCGAGGGACACAGCGCATTGCTGCTGATCGCCACGCTCCTTGAGCAGTACGCATTGAGCAGTGAGAATGGAGAGGACGTCACATGACGTCCTCTCAGAACGAGAGAACCACCTTGCATCCGTCATTGGACTATATGGCGGGCGCGAGGTGGTAAAAAAATTTTTAATTGTCGGGCAATGCCGACAATTCTCTTTGACATTCAGATAATGTCACAGGGAACCCCGCTGATAGCTGAAAAACATGATATGAATGTTTCTTCACTACTAAAATACTGCATGACTTAATAATATAACTAACTATGCAAATCAGTATTTTAGTAACTGCAGTTGAAAGCAGATGATCTTACCGCATACTTAGATGAGGTAAGATACCACTCAGTAAATTGTCCCTATTCAAAGTTTGTGGTCGGTCGAACATTTGGTAGGTTCGAATGTTTGATAGCGAACCGAACAGGGGGTGTTCAGTCCATCACTATTAAAAATGTTCAGAATGAAATGTATATTGCTTGCTGTTCTTTATACATATACATTTCTTTACAGTAATTGCCCCCAGACATTCCAATACATAAAGTATGACTACATATAGTTGTATTTGACAATCTATGATTCTGTTGCTGGTTCTGGGAGTACTGGGATATCAGGACAAAATGGGGGAATAATGGGGGAAAAATTAACTGTAATGCAAACCACAGCATGTTTATTTCAAACAACATAAAGAGTAACATGCACTCTTGCAAAGGAGTTCAAAGACCTATCTCCTGAACAGCAACAACCTGTGTCACAAATGTACATATTTTAAAAGCAGGGCAGTGTTCCCAGTGGTAGATACAGTACATCCAGCCATCCAGTATATTAACCACAAATGAGGGGCCTATTCATCCAGCCAACTAGGGGGCAAGACAGACCAGAGTTTTCATAAAAGCATGCAGTATATTATGCATAGTTATAGTGAGCAACAAGGTGGATACTGGGTACTACTGGATGACAGGGGGTCACCAATAAGAACACTGTCCTGTAACAAATGTATAGCAAAACATAAAACAAAAATCATTAACACAATTTTGTAAAATATTTGTTTATCATATACAGTGGTCATATGGTTTCAATATGATTTATTATATTGACAATGCATTTTAATAATATGAATTAATGGCAAATAAACATCAGTGCATCATATCCATCATCAACACAGTTTAATCAACAAAGCATTCATTTAATATTCAATACCACAGACTGCAAGAAGGGTTTTAAACTAATTGTGTCATTTATTCTGGGGGCAATGACCACACAAAGTTGATATATCCACTTCAATTTATTGGATACAGTGATCTTAGTTACTTCCTTGAGGGTCAATATGAAATCATTCTATAGAATAGAATTTAATACATGTTAGGAGTTTTATTAGAATGGCAAAGCACCATGTCTTCCAATCTGCATTTTTTATGGCCATTATATGGTTTTGTGTTGCCCACATAAAAGCTCCTGCACTTGCAGGAGAGCATGTATAAAATTCTAGTCACTTGGCAATTAACATTATGTCTTACTTGCAGTGTTCCAGCCTATGGCTTTTTCCTTGGTAAATACTATAAGACTAGTATGCACATGATCCACAGATATACATGCCAAAGTGGTGACAAGGATCATCCAATCCTATTCTAGAGAAGCGACTCTAAACCACAGAATCCCTAAGTGATCAACCTCTTCTAAACCAAATTTCTGACCTATTTCAGATGCATTTAGAAACCTGGGGGTCATCCAGAAAATACTAGTATTTATCAATGATGTTCCTAATTTCCTACACTTGTCTACTGTAGAGCAAAATAAGTTTAAGAGTGGGCAATGGCTAAGTGGTTAGCATTTCCACCTAGTCGCTGGTTCAAATCCCAACCACAGCTGTCAGGAAGGAGTTCACGTGGTGGCACAGTGGCTCTCAGCCTGTAGGCTGTAGTTCTGGTGTTCACCAGTAGGTGTCTCCCAGCAGCCAGAAGCTCATGGTAATTAGGCATCACCTGATGCTCATTGCAGGAGGTGTATTTAAACTCTTTGCCTTTTGGTGTTTGTCCATGTGCTCCTGACCCTGTGTTCCTGCATCATGCTCCTGACTCTGTATCCTGATTACTTACCTGCCATTTTGTTCCTTCTCCCAGTTACCTTCTCTCTGTCCTGGCTTGCTCCCTGCTCCTTCTGCTTGATCTCCGGTGTATGACCCTGACTCTGACACCGACTAAGATTATCATATCCTTCTATCTCTATATATTTGGTTTGGACAGTTGTTTACTGTTTGTTCACTCACTTCTTAAATTTGCTGGTTTGACATATAGTTCTGATATATTGGAGGTGTGTTTATATTTCTGTTATTCACTTATTCTTAATACATTACATTATTTTACAAATAATGTTTTCTGTGCAAGTCCACACATTTCTGGTCACACCTAATTCACAGGATACCAACACTTGGTATCCCTAAAATAGCATTACCTACCTGGAGTTTGCATGTTCTCTCTGTGCCTGTATGGGTTTCCTCCCACATTTCAAAGACGAGCGGGTAGGTTAACTGTCTCATGTCTAAATTGGCCCTAGTATGTGTATGTATGAATGAGAGTTAGGGACCTTAGTTTGTAAGCTCCTGGAGGGCAGGGACTGATGTGAATGTACAATCTATGTGTAAAGTGCTGTGTAAATTGATGCCGCTGTATAAGTATCTGTAATAATATTAGTATGAAAACTATTAGATTTGTTAAATATTAGTTTGCCTTGTGGCTTTTTAGACACTCACTGATACACTTGTTTAAGAGTTTTTGACTGTATTCTCATTTGAGTAATCTTATTCTTAAAACATCAGCCTCTTTAAAAAAAAACAGAACATGCCACTTGAACAATTGCACTTAAGGTACAAATATTGTCTGTATGGGAAAGATTTGATCACATAGGTCAGGTGGACACTATCAGAACCTAGCATCATATTGACTGCAATAGGCTTATGGTACAAGGAACTACCTAAGGTCCTCATCTCTAAACATCAAGTGCTCACACCTGCCAGGTACAAATTGGCATTGGGTGGGGCATAACATGTCCCCATCACTATGTCTTTGACCGGGAGGAAGTGGGAGTCATAAAAAATTATATCTAAGTATAAAATCCAATGATGTCACAATGCATTGGTTGTACTCACTCTGTTCCAAAGTCCTTTCCTGCAAAAAAGGTACAGTACCTCCACATCCATTGCCACTAGCCAGGCACCCTCTGGGACCTGCAAATCCTCTAATATTTGCAAAAATGTAAACAGGAAAAACAAAAATGAGGGAAAACTAGCAGACTAAGACACCTAAATTATGGTTAAAACATACATCCTTTTACATTCTTGTACACTACAGTATATATAATATTAAACTCACACTCTCAACTGTTCATAGGATTTTAAGAAATGTTTTTTTCTCAAATCAAGCATACAAGATATAATTGATTGTGGCTCTTAAACTGGTACATATGGTTACCATTATCATGTGTATACAATAATTATTTTTGTTTTAATGTAGATTACTCATCTCATCCTAATCTGAAGAAGCAGAACCTGATTCTGAGGACTGTATTGAGTATGGGAATTCACCCCAGCTGAATGAGTACAACGATTGCTTGATTTGACAAAAATATTATTTTAAATCCTATGTACAGCTGGGAGTATGATATATACCTTGGATGAGTTTAATATGATACATACAGAATTGTATAAAAATGTGCTTCATAGCTATTTTTATAGTTTGTATTTTAACATGTGCGTTCAATAAAAAGATACATGTTTTAACCATAATTTTAGTGCCTTTAAAAGTATGCTAGTTTTCTCTCTTTTTTGTTTTATTTCTGTTATGTCAAAATTGAATGTGGCACTAATTATACATAGGGCCCCCTAACTACTTGCAAAGATTATATCTGTAATAGATGAATTGTGTCTTTTGTATACAAATGTAGAATATAAAGCTTTAGGTGTGCATCAAGTACCTTGCTGTTGGTCTCAGTGAGGCTACCAGATCACAAACAAATTTCCCAGCACACTTACCAGCTACCCTGCAAACAAACCAAATTGTCTCTGTCTAACAACTCATCTTGAAACAGAGGGTTTTGTTACACACATTTGCAAATATATGTGAAAGCCGCATTGCCCACGTCAAGGCTCCTCTGTAAACTGTGGTCTTAACTCTATAGTTTTGAAAGTCTCCAAGTTGGAGCTTATATAATAGTGGATAATTTAAGGGCACATTTGCCTGGAGGGAGCCCACTCCTCCTTAAAGGCACAGAGACACATTGGACACACAGCAAAAGCACAATGGCAGCTGAAAGCATCAAATGTGACCCCACACTAAACCAGCAATGTTCTCAGTGAGGCTACCAGACCCATAATATTGTAATGGGCATACCAAGAGGAGATTTTAAACTTTTGTGTACCTTGGGTAATGCATAAAATATCAGGGTGTCTGGCCAGTGGTCAATATGTACTCCGATGTCTTTTTGGAACTAGCCCCCAATATTAATGCTTCATAAATGAGGTTCTAGTATTCTTTTTGAAATTTTACAGGAAGGGAGTCAGGAATAATTTTATACCGATCCTATTTATCAAAATCCTTTGGCACATAGCTGTACAGTATATTGCTCCTTGAACATTGGACTATTGCCACCTTTAAAGATGGTTTTACACTTATATCATATTGTTCTTTCAGTTGGTGTAATGTTTTA